AACCTGCAGCGTCCACTTGTCGATCAAATCTGTGATATACTCCTCACAGAAGACCGTTGTACCGAGTGCGCCGCCAAGATAACGAGCACCCTCGGTCACAACACGAATGCCCGTGTCCCTGAAAAGCTCGAGTGCCAGGGCCGAATGCTGCTCCTTGACAATTAGTGTTGTCTTGTTCGCGTTAGGGTAGTACCCATACCCAGGGCCATGCTACTACTACTACTACTACTACTACTACTACTACTACTACTACTACTACTACTACTACTACTACTACTACTACTACTACTACTACTACTACTACTACTACTACTACTACTACTACTACTACTACTACTACTACTACTACTACTACTACTACTACTACTACTACTACTACTACTACTACTACTACTACTACTACTACTACTACTACTACTACTACTACTACTACTACTACTACTACTACTACTACTACTACTACTACTACTACTACTACTACTACTACTACTACTACTACTACTACTACTACTACTACTACTACTACTACTACTACTACTACTACTACTACTACTACTACTACTACTACTACTACTACTACTACTACTACTACTACTACTACTACTACTACTACTACTACTACTACTACTACTACTACTACTACTACTACTACTACTACTACTACTACTACTACTACTACTACTACTACTACTACTACTACTACTACTACTACTACTACTACTACTACTACTACTACTACTACTACTACTACTACTACTACTACTACTACTACTACTACTACTACTACTACTACTACTACTACTACTACTACTACTACTACTACTACTACTACTACTACTACTACTACTACTACTACTACTACTACTACTACTACTACTACTACTACTACTACTACTACTACTACTACTACTACTACTACTACTACTACTACTACTACTACTACTACTACTACTACTACTACTACTACTACTACTACTACTACTACTACTACTACTACTACTACTACTACTACTACTACTACTACTACTACTACTACTACTACTACTACTACTACTACTACTACTACTACTACTACTACTACTACTACTACTACTACTACTACTACTACTACTACTACTACTACTACTACTACTACTACTACTACTACTACTACTACTACTACTACTACTACTACTACTACTACTACTACTACTACTACTACTACTACTACTACTACTACTACTACTACTACTACTACTACTACTACTACTACTACTACTACTACTACTACTACTACTACTACTACTACTACTACTACTACTACTACTACTACTACTACTACTACTACTACTACTACTACTACTACTACTACTACTACTACTACTACTACTACTACTACTACTACTACTACTACTACTACTACTACTACTACTACTACTACTACTACTACTACTACTACTACTACTACTACTACTACTACTACTACTACTACTACTACTACTACTACTACTACTACTACTACTACTACTACTACTACTACTACTACTACTACTACTACTACTACTACTACTACTACTACTACTACTACTACTACTACTACTACTACTACTACTACTACTACTACTACTACTACTACTACTACTACTACTACTACTACTACTACTACTACTACTACTACTACTACTACTACTACTACTACTACTACTACTACTACTACTACTACTACTACTACTACTACTACTACTACTACTACTACTACTACTACTACTACTACTACTACTACTACTACTACTACTACTACTACTACTACTACTACTACTACTACTACTACTACTACTACTACTACTACTACTACTACTACTACTACTACTACTACTACTACTACTACTACTACTACTACTACTACTACTACTACTACTACTACTACTACTACTACTACTACTACTACTACTACTACTACTACTACTACTACTACTACTACTACTACTACTACTACTACTACTACTACTACTACTACTACTACTACTACTACTACTACTACTACTACTACTACTACTACTACTACTACTACTACTACTACTACTACTACTACTACTACTACTACTACTACTACTACTACTACTACTACTACTACTACTACTACTACTACTACTACTACTACTACTACTACTACTACTACTACTACTACTACTACTACTACTACTACTACTACTACTACTACTACTACTACTACTACTACTACTACTACTACTACTACTACTACTACTACTACTACTACTACTACTACTACTACTACTACTACTACTACTACTACTACTACTACTACTACTACTACTACTACTACTACTACTACTACTACTACTACTACTACTACTACTACTACTACTACTACTACTACTACTACTACTACTACTACTACTACTACTACTACTACTACTACTACTACTACTACTACTACTACTACTACTACTACTACTACTACTACTACTACTACTACTACTACTACTACTACTACTACTACTACTACTACTACTACTACTACTACTACTACTACTACTACTACTACTACTACTACTACTACTACTACTACTACTACTACTACTACTACTACTACTACTACTACTACTACTACTACTACTACTACTACTACTACTACTACTACTACTACTACTACTACTACTACTACTACTACTACTACTACTACTACTACTACTACTACTACTACTACTACTACTACTACTACTACTACTACTACTACTACTACTACTACTACTACTACTACTACTACTACTACTACTACTACTACTACTACTACTACTACTACTACTACTACTACTACTACTACTACTACTACTACTACTACTACTACTACTACTACTACTACTACTACTACTACTACTACTACTACTACTACTACTACTACTACTACTACTACTACTACTACTACTACTACTACTACTACTACTACTACTACTACTACTACTACTACTACTACTACTACTACTACTACTACTACTACTACTACTACTACTACTACTACTACTACTACTACTACTACTACTACTACTACTACTACTACTACTACTACTACTACTACTACTACTACTACTACTACTACTACTACTACTACTACTACTACTACTACTACTACTACTACTACTACTACTACTACTACTACTACTACTACTACTACTACTACTACTACTACTACTACTACTACTACTACTACTACTACTACTACTACTACTACTACTACTACTACTACTACTACTACTACTACTACTACTACTACTACTACTACTACTACTACTACTACTACTACTACTACTACTACTACTACTACTACTACTACTACTACTACTACTACTACTACTACTACTACTACTACTACTACTACTACTACTACTACTACTACTACTACTACTACTACTACTACTACTACTACTACTACTACTACTACTACTACTACTACTACTACTACTACTACTACTACTACTACTACTACTACTACTACTACTACTACTACTACTACTACTACTACTACTACTACTACTACTACTACTACTACTACTACTACTACTACTACTACTACTACTACTACTACTACTACTACTACTACTACTACTACTACTACTACTACTACTACTACTACTACTACTACTACTACTACTACTACTACTACTACTACTACTACTACTACTACTACTACTACTACTACTACTACTACTACTACTACTACTACTACTACTACTACTACTACTACTACTACTACTACTACTACTACTACTACTACTACTACTACTACTACTACTACTACTACTACTACTACTACTACTACTACTACTACTACTACTACTACTACTACTACTACTACTACTACTACTACTACTACTACTACTACTACTACTACTACTACTACTACTACTACTACTACTACTACTACTACTACTACTACTACTACTACTACTACTACTACTACTACTACTACTACTACTACTACTACTACTACTACTACTACTACTACTACTACTACTACTACTACTACTACTACTACTACTACTACTACTACTACTACTACTACTACTACTACTACTACTACTACTACTACTACTACTACTACTACTACTACTACTACTACTACTACTACTACTACTACTACTCATAAAAAGGACACACTTCAGGCTCATTACAAACATCTTGAAAGTTTTCGTCTTCACAAGTATACTTTCAAGCCTTCTCATCAGGTGAAATACAGGCAAGGGAAAAGGAACAGGAACAGTGGATTAAATACAGTAAGAAGGTGGTAAAACAGCGCAAAAAGAAAGAAAGAAAGAAAGAAGATAGCTAAAGTAAACAGCGAAAATTGCAATAATGACACAAAGGTGCAAATGCGAGAAAACTCAATAAGCGCGACATGTAGTGCGACAACAAGAGACAACCACTGGACTACTACTACTACTACTACTACTACTACTACTACTACTACTACTACTACTACTACTACTACTACTACCGATTGACGGGAGAGGGGGGGGGGGGGGGCTCAGGGGGCAGGGGGGCATAATGACCGTTTGGGAAAGAGTTCCTTCCATTTCCAACACAACCAAGTCCACATGTTTGTCACTTGTCCGTAAATCATGAGTCGTGTAACCAGATTCTGTGTCTCGTAGGGCACTGGGGTCAGAGCAGTGAGGAAGCAAGTCCTGGCTAGAGTTCACCCCCAAAAATAAAACAGCATAGCAGCTGTTTGCATCTGATATTTTGCGAAGATGCGCGGTTCAACGCACGCGCAGAACACTGTCCGTGACTCCGTGCATCATTCTGTAGAGTCGTAGATCTACCTGCCTGATAGCGCATCGGTGCTACGAGAAGATTCTACGAGTACACTGTACGATCATCGTACACAGTCTCGATTTCATGCTCACCCATATCCATTTTTGTCCTTTTTGAGCGCGTGCAGCCTTGTGCACATGTGGGCGCGCTTTTGGTGGTTTTGTGGTCTTCGGTCTTCACACGGTTCC